ACACTGGCCGCCTTGTCTGTATCGGGTTCTTCGTTGCGGTGCCGGGTATCTTCGAGCACCGTTCCGCTTTCTTCCCGATCGACTCATGCGCCGACCATCGTGGAATCCCCCAGTCCTAAGTCTGGGTCGCCCCCACTTTCAAGTGGGCCTGCACCTCCTGTGAAGCGTCCAGTCTTGAAGGTAGAACTATTTGGCGAGGCGTCGAACGACTCTGATGAATCGGTCAGCATGCCCAGCGACGTTCGGGATGCCGAGAATGATCTGCTTCCAAGAGCTGAGTACGACCGTTTGGTTCCGACCCGGGTACCTTGCGATCAATGGTTTCACGGATACCGCGATCGGGTACCCCGGTACAAGGCTATTGCGGAGAGGAGGTCTAATAAAGACGAAAACAACCACATACGGAAACTAACGTTGTGTCCGATTCGATTCAACGAATGATATTAAGCGATCGGGTGTGATAGCGATTATGTATGAATACAAGCACCGCTACTATAATTCAGAGTGAACATTCGTTATAACAAAGCGGATCGTGCAATCAGACATGTTGGTCATTTAATCGGCTTTCACATACTAAGGGGCGCAAATACACAGAAAAGATCCAGATGGTGAGTTCCCTGAGATACCTAAATATTATAAAGAGCACTCGAATCTGTTTTCTGGATCTGTAGACCGTATAAAGTTTTTTGCCCGAAGTAGTAAATTTCACAAATGACATAATTTGATTGCATTCTATTTGAAATTTTGCGATCCTCTTTCTGAGGTTCAGAAATAGTTGAGATGGATTGACCCATCCTTTCATTGGCTACAACAACGCTGTACCTTTGGCCGCACGATTTGTGGTTTGCAAATTTATGTGCGTGAAGCCTCGTTCGCGCACCAAATGTGATAAGAGCTTCTAAAATCCGAGGAAGATTTAATCAATCTGACCGAGGATCGCAACTTATATATATAACCCGATCATCTCCATCAATTTAAGCATCACCGGTCGTCTTATATTAAAAAAAGAATGCACCACATTCTTTTTTGAATATAAGACGACCGACGATTTGCATTGAAACCTACAAATAAGCCAGCTGGTCAGGTTGATCGCTCACTTTTACCGACTGTGAAACTAAATACTGTGATATTAACGTAACACAATGTAGGATTGTGGCGAGCGGGTTTCAACACACCCTCTGTTGTTTTAAATTGATTGACGCATGCTACGTATATGGATTGAGAAACTCCGAAGTTATCTTAGCGTAAGTTGGATAAAGGTATATACTGATCAATTTCTACATTTTGACAATGACTAGCACGTACGACGTCGGATCTGATCGATTTGCTTGCTGAAACTAAAATGAACACCCATCAAAATAAAATTGGATGAAGAGAAAATACCAATATACCGGTCACCTCATTAATCGCTTCGTAGGAAATTGGGATGATTTTCATAGTTTGGTAATGAGTAGAAGATGACAATCGGCCCGGATCGAAATATCTGGATTGCAGATATGTAACCTACCTAGTCCATCGATTTTTATCCAAGTATTAGATGCCCACTCAAACGGTATATGATCGCTCATATTTATACTTGCGATCCATGCAGTATTTTCCTGACAGTTCGAGACATAATAATTGGTCGATTGGAAAATAAATAAACTGAAGATTTCGTGCCATTTAAACAAAGAAGAGCTGATTCTCGTGAAACATGTCGCTTCGACATTTTACAAAAGCGATTTGTGAGGATAATGGAGACTAGTGCGACGACATGTCCTAAGTGGGTACAAAAGCTATGCTGGCTTTGTAAATGGGTTCAATCACTTGTGGGATTCACACATTGGAGATGATGACGATCACATCTTAGATTATAAAATTACACACATTCCTCGAGATATAACGAGTTGGGAGAAGAACCCAATTGAATTCATAATGGATGAAGCCAGTATCGATTAACTGTCAACTAATAAAAATTTCGTCCAGATCATCCTCAGATGATGGTTTTATGGTATTCTTACCATTGAATGCGCGGTTTCGGTGAATTTGCTGAAAGAACATGATCATTTGTACTGGACGATATCGTTCACAAGCCTACACGCTGATATTAATTGTAACTAGCTATGACATGGATAAAACAGAGGCATTAGATTTTCGCCTTGTGTTAGATATTGGCTATACGCTACAATACTAGATCAAGGTCCATAAATTCACGAGATAATCGAAATTGAAAAAACTTTTTCAATCTTCCGGTTCGGCAGTAGTATGGATGATCACCTGCTTTACAATGAAATTAAAGATGCAAGATTAGCGGACGCGGAAAAGGGATGATCACGATACGTGCTATGATCCTCTCAATCATAACGCCTCGCGATAACAGGAAATACTACTCGACTTTAATTTGAACAGGATCAAATACCCGAGACGATATGAAAATCTGGATCAGATTATACAACTAGTGGTCCTTAAGGTTCGAGTCGAACGTTTCTCTTGGGACGTAGTAAACGTCTTCGAGACGACCAAGGAAAAAAAGCGTGAAAATGTCCAGAAGCGTCGTGAATATTAATCGACGAAACGGGTTAACCTGTGTGACAACGTTAAAAACCCCTCATAGCCACCCGCCTTAACAAGACGAAGAAGAAAACTAGATGCTAGGGTCGTCTCAACTATCAAAGAGGGGCGAAATACGCTACTGTTGGAGCAAAGGTCTCAGTGGTAGCTTTGCGGGGAGCGTGGAAGAGTTATCTAGAAAGGATACAAAATGTGATTGCCGAGGCCTCTGTAAGACAATAATGGGATAACTGTGTAAGCATGATTTTTAACTGCGTGGAAACGAACCGAGAGGTACGCACATATTGTGTTCGTCACCATTATAGTGAGCCAAACTAACATGAGAGGGATTTGAAATTACCAGGAATGACGGATTTCCATCAACATTGGTGGTTTATTTAACCACGTCACATAGCTTCGGTCAGTCTATCAACCCAGGTAAAAATGTCCAGTGCGTTACATGCGGTAGTGGAGATGTATTTAGACAAAATGATAATGCACATGAAAAGTCGTTTTGTTGAAACAATTGTCGGCTCCACCAGCTCCTGCAAGTGATGCTATTCAATTGACATTTGTGCAAGTGCGTGAGAGGCCATCTGTATCGACTCAATGGAATCAAATTGCCGCATCGTCAATGCGAAGGAATACGTCAGAGTTCAAGAACATAGCAGTCGTTTCGGGTTCACCCTCATAACAACGAGATGCAGCCGTTGCAAGAGGGTATGTCATAGTGCACGACAATGTGGTTGAAAAGAAGAGATAACACTTACTGTACCAAAGAAGCCCGGAATGAGCAGAATAAATGTGTCAGCTTACAAAAACGATACTTCTCATCTTTAATGTTTTTATCTTATATCTCCACAAAAGTATATGGCTTGCGCAAGCGTACAGTGGCCTAGTTCATCTCGCTAACATGATTAAAGCATTAGTAACGTGATGTGACATTAAATCCGCACATTACTTGTCGCCATGCTTCAACGTCATCGTACCACAAGGTAGCATTCAAATTGGCTTCATGAATGCGCTTTGTCGTGTCTCCTCAGTCGTTACCAGCTTCATATCTTTGGCATACTCTTAATTCGAGCTTACATTTCGCAATGATCGATTGAGGACGGCAGAAAACTTGACGATTCTATCCAAAAAAACAGGACAAAAATCGCATAGACCGTGAGCACGTGAGTCAAGCGATATTGAGAGCGCTTTTATTGTAATGTAAAAACACCCTTTTCGTCTCACTAGTGCACCTATCTTTCCTTTCAAGCGTAGTGCGGATAGATTGCTGCTGCAAAGGTGTCGGCTTACAAACTTAATGCGATATTGCGCGCGTAAGTGACCTCGACAGCTTAACGTCCACGTGTAAAAGACGTGTTCGAATGCACTCGTGCAAAGTAGGTTGCGATCAAATTTGAAGCATAGTGAAATACATCGAGTGTGAACTTCTTACATTTACACCATACGCTATATGTCACTCCTGCACTGCAACTTGACCGGGTCACGGACTGGGCGCACGTCTCCACATGCTGGTCTTATGTGCCGAACAAATCTCCCAGTCCAATCCTCTGTGACATCTTGGTCGTTTTACATAGCGTCCGCCTCTCTTCGTCCCATATGTCAAGTTGTCAAATTTACAACCAATCAGGTGGAGTCGAATCTTAATAACTGAGGGAGATCAACGGTTTCCACTATAAAAAGTGAGCTGCGTATCACGTCACTGCACATTTGAAGCCTATCTATTCGATACGCAGGTGCTATGTCATCTCAGCGATTTTCATCACTAGTCTCATCGCTTGCACACATTCAATAAATGGTGGAATGGCTTGCCTCCGCGGCGAAGGTCCGGCCCGCTAATCGGGCGTCGTGGTCGTCCAATAATAACATTGTAACACGAACTTTGCGCTACTACATGTGCATGCCACGCGAATGTTGTACCGACGAACAATTTACACTCGTGTCACAGCACACAACTGCATGCAAAAGCACAATTGCGCTATGTTTGCAAGACGGCCACGTTGTCGCGACGTCATTGCAGGTCAAACGACATTCAAACTCCAACAACCTCGTCGTCGAACGGGACTTTTCTGTTGCATTGCTGATGCACGCATCAAAAGGTCAACTGGAACCTGTTCACCGTCAGGTTGTACTACTAGTTGGTGCATCACAAAACGTTCACTCAGGCTGAAGTTTGTGCAGGCTATTGCCACTGAATGGCTTATTGAGTACCAAGTGCTTGGACGTAAACAGAACTGAAGAAAGAAACCAAAAAGACTGAGTTTGAAAACAGAATTGCTGTTACGTTGCCCTCGAGTGCTACGTGTGCTACCGCTACGCATGTAGCAGCAAGACAACGAGCACCAACTTGCTTCTCATTGCATCACTACGACCGCCTCACGTCCATTCTAGCCACGGCTCCGAGTAGCAACTTTCGCGAAAGTTATGCTGATGATAAAAGCATTGAGCCACAGCGAGATGGGCTACTGCACCATTGCTGCTGGGATCCGCGTGAGCGAAGATCGAAGGAAACTCGTCAGATAGATGTAGTCGCCGAAACGCTTCGCACCCGTAACCAACGGCGTCTGCCCTTGCGAGGCTTCGTACACGTACCGAACGTCGCCCGTCTCCAAGTCTACAGAGGCAAACACGCCAAGACGATCGATGAAGCTAAACGTCACCGACGCTGGCAGCTGCAGTAGCAGATTGCGTAGTTCGGCGTTCTGTATGATTTGGGAGAAGGTCCCACCATCGACTCGTATAATGAGTCCCACCAGCAGCACATCCGTCTCGTTTGCTCCTGCACCCACCTTTTCAATCGAAATGTTGTCTGGTGTACCCGGCAAGAAAGCAAAGTCCTTGATCTGCTTGGTCGCTCGATCAAAACGCACAATCTTGTTCTGGAACTCGAGGGCAATCAGTAGCCCAGAGCCATCTTTTTCAAGCGCCAGGCCATTCGGGAATCCCAACCCGCTCGCCTCCACGTGCACGCTCTCGTCCCGTGGATCAAATCGCAGCAAATACCCCGTCGGTCGGCGTTCCAAAAAGTCGAATACGACTTGAGCGTTCTGAAAGCGACGAGACGAGTCCGACACGTAAATCTCGCCCGTCTCCTGCACGACGGCAAGTGCATTGAGGAAGTTCACGTGAAGGCCGGCGTATTGATTGAAGAGCAGCGTGCGCCCTCCATTGGCATCAAAGAGGAACACGCCCTGGTAAGCGTCGATCGCGAGCATCACAAAGTCTCCTGGAAACAACTTGGCAGCTGGAATCCGCTGGATGAACTTGGCAAAAGGACGCGCAGCAGCGAACTTGATCGCAAGTGGCCGTCCACAGATCGGTTCCAAGTCCGGAGTCCCACATCCCGGAACATCTTGGCCTGTGCGAGAGAAATTCCGCACTTCGTTGGAATCAACTTCGAAGCTCGCGATACGTCCATCCCCCAATCCGGCGTATGCCACGCCGTCTGGGCCCACGGTCATGTCTTCTGCATTCACTGCTTGGTTCGTCAACACGTGCTCCAAGTTGGGTGGTTGGAAGAGCTCCGTGTCGCGCACTAACGCCGCTGTCTCGTTGTATCGACTTTCCTGGGCCAACGTACGGAGGTCATAGTCGAAGTCAAGTGGTTGGGCCTCGACTTCACTTGGCTGCCGATCGATTTCTGCCGACAGGACCAGGGCGGAGAAAGACGCAGCGAGTAAGCCGCGCGAGAAGAAGTAGTTGGGACCGCTCGGCGCCATGACTGAAGAATGGGAAGTGAGGAGAGCGATTGCGACAAGGATGAGAGAGAGAGAGAGAGAGAGAGAGAGAGAGAGAGAGAGAGAGAGAGAGAGAGAGAGAGAGAGAGAGAGAGAGAGAGAGAGAGAGAGAGCTATGAATGGTGGCCAGCCCTTGTCGATTAGGTGACGAGAGGAGACGGTAGTTACACTAAGGTGGTCTGAAGAGCAACAGGGGGTCTTCTCCAAGACGTATTGAATCTGATTTCTCGTTGAACTGCAGAGGGCTTCTCCGACTGAATCCGCGACAGGTTCTTGCAGTCGCGACGAAGCCGCGAGAAAAAATCAGCTCCAGGAATAGGGATTGGTGAGCAGACTGCTACGTTGTGTAGACATGCAACTTGTATCGATGGCAGCCTTCAGCTTGCCCCTTCTGTCGTCATCAAGCTGTGTGTTTACTATACTGGTCAACAGCAAGCGCTTCGTGCCGTCATCGAGCTTTTTGTTTACTAAGCTGCTCAGCAGCTTGCCCTTTCTGTCGTCATCGAGCTTTTTGTTTACTAAGCTGCTCAGCAGCTTGCCCTTTCTGTCGTCATCAAGCTTTGTGTTTACTGTAGTGTTAAACTGCGACACAAAGGGTGTGAAGGTGTAGGGCGGCACATATTGGGATAGAGAAAGGAGTGGATGGTGACCTGAACATTCGGTATCGTTTATTCTATGCCAAATGGGTACCCTTGCGATTTTCTCAATTCTTGTCTATCGTACGCAATCGTGCTGGCTAAACTATGCTGAGGTCAAATTAGTACTAACCGCATTCATCGTTAATAAAACTGAGACACGTCAGCTACTCAACGCCATCTGCCACCGATAGCAGTAAACGTCGCCCAGATAGCCAAAATTTCAGCTGAATGTCGTCAGCATCACATTCGTTGGGCATTTAACACGGTGATACGGTAGTATTCACTTTTATGAGACTGAAAGGTTGAATTCGTCACTTATAATGGTTAAATTCGTCACTTTATGAGAATGAAAGGTGTCATTGAAGGCTGGCTATCAAGAGAGCTCGAACGTCGATTGGTGAGAATTACTGGATGATATCAGTGTGCATCTGCGTCTACCTTGACTACTTCATTCTCCTCCTCGGTGGCTCAGTGTGCTGGTTCGAGATCGTGGGCGTAACGGGGGATAGTTTGCATAGGGCACGTGGAATTGGGTTTCCAGTCCGGGCTATCGGCAGGGCGTTGAAGTTGCAGAAAGCGCCTGGTATCACCCCGATCGCCCCCAATGGGCCGCTAACGCACCTGGACCAGAAATCATGCTAGACGACTGGGACGGCGACGTATAGGCTGACGTAGAATAGCAGGAATTAGGTGGGGGAGAAAACCGCTTTTGCCGTGCCCTCGATCCCCATGTGTCTTAGTTGTTGCTCCTCTTCCGGTTGGCACGCAGCGACAAGATGTTAAACTAGACCCCACACATGGAATCTTTATAGCACAAAAAAGGAGGCCGGTTGATCGGCTCTTTAAAGATTTTTGTCGCTGCCCGTTGTTGCTTGTAGGCGCATGTTGAGAACCAAGTCGGCGGCTATTTGGCACATTCGCGACACCGTGTTATCTCGCTTTACCCGTGCCGTAAAAGGCTATGTATGGACTTGCATTCAGGAGTGTTAATCATCCGTCGGATTACTGTAGTAACGGTCGCTCTCAGGTGAACGTCTGAGGGACGAAAGCATATTTTTGTGACCAGAACTGAAATCTGGATCAACACGTGGTTGAGCTACGACGACCATGATCACTGTCTGACACCACAGCTTCCATGATTTGTCATCAGCCTCCATCATACTTCTTGTTCATTGTTCACCACGCTTCTTCTTGTTTCGTTGCTACTTGCTGTTTTTGTTTCTTTTCCCCTCTGTAAGTCTGTTCTGTCTATTACTTAGCAAATGTAAGAAGACAGCTACGATCATCAACGAGCGTCTCCGACAGCCTAAGCTTACAATCGTGCCTTTATTCTTCACTGTAGCATGATGAGGATACCATGCATTCTTGGATCACCTTAGGTCAGCGAAATATACCTATTAATCGAGATCTAGATAAGCAATGATCGGTTCATTCATCAAACTGTTTGTGATTGCTTCGTAATCTATGCTGCATCATCGCGAGGTTCCCCCCCGTGCCTCGGGTACGCACAAGCAGTTCGAGTCGAGCGAATACCGGCTCGGTATAATCAGAGACCTCAGAAAGGTCTTGTCTTGTACGTACTGCTCTATAGTACCATCACAACCCCCCCCCGGTACTGAGCATACGGCCTCTCGGCAAGAATGACCTATCGAAGCATAAGACCTCCGAAAGTGCATGAGCTTCCTCTACGGGGAACAAGTATGTGTAAGAGAAAAGCGGGATCTGTGTGGTACACAACAACCAAAAAATAATACGCCCGTCGCGTGGTACGATGACACCACGTACCCGTGTGTAGCTAGCTAACCAGCAAGTGACTTCTTGAACTACGCCAAAGAGAACGGCGGCATGTCGTCGCAACATAAGCTTATTGGCTGTCCCGGACCTACAACAACAAAACTGTCACACCATCATTATTCATACTGCTTTCATTTTACAAACTGCTTTCATCTTACGAACTGCTTTCATCTTACGAACTGCTTTCATTATCCGAACTGTGATAGCACAAGAAATGGGTGCGATCTTCTTCTATCGATATTCGCCACGAATAATTTGCACGATTCGCGTTCGCGTCGGCAACGATCAAGGAGGCTTCTGCACGATTATATGTGATCTTATCTTCACCTTCCCATACCCTCCAGACGTAAAACCATTGCTTAATTGTTGGAACTTTCCTCACCAATTCCTTTGATCTGCTGTGCTTCGAGTACACGCTAGTTACTGTCTCCACCACCGACTGTGATGCCCGTGTCTGCTGTCAAGCCGATCCCACTCATCTCTTCTTCTTATGTGGCACCATGTGAAGATAGAGGTTCAAATTGTCGATGTACATGACCAGCGCTGCAGGATCTCAGGACGTCCGGAGCCAAAATATGAGCGCCTGTGGACTTGGTGGCGCATTGTAGCTTGTCACAGCGGGAATTACTGAAACCACTGGATTTGGGCGCTATCAGTCCAACACACGCATATTGCATGGCGCCATATGCGGCTGACGCATTCTTTACTGCTAAAAAAATTCACAGAAAGGAAAGTCACGGGCAACGACAACGCAGGAGACTACCGATGAGCTGTCATTGTTTCTCTTCCCCGAATGCCGCTACTTCGAGCAGCGTCCTGTCGAGCAACTGAAGCGAATGTAGCCATCCGATATAATGTTTTTAACCTAAACAATTTTGTGATACACAGTGCTTCCGCCGATGGGCTGTGTTTCTCTTATCTGCGTGATCCGCAGTCTGATGTCAAGTTTTTTGGCGTCGATCGAGTTGGATAGTTTTCGCTTAGTAGTGTGCAGGCCGAATAGACAACGTGACTATGCAGAAACTGTTTCGATTTGGCTTATAGTTATTTGAGAAAACAGGTAACTATTGCCGTTCATAAGAACATGTCATGTCAAAGAGAGACTATTCCCAAACCGCAAGTGATGGCATAGGATGAGTTTTGTATGCCCTGCAAATATCGGGCTAGATGCTCGTACGATTAAATCTGCCACTCGGCGACCTTCCTGAGATGCATCGAGCGCGAAGCTGGAAGCGTGGAGAAGCAGCATGTACGTAGCATAGTCTTTCCATTTCTGATGAACCTTACTGGGATGGTGCATCCATTTCTTTCGTTCCACTACTGTTCTCGGGCCACAATATTTTGGCCTCTTCCAGTTTCTCATTTTCGGTCAGCTCCAGAAAGGCCTCACAACCTCTCCGGTGTGATTGCAAAGCCCCCAAATCAACCATAAACATCCTGAACACGCAGCTGGTTGGCCTTTGCTTTGAGCTTCCGCGAGGTCATATTCGCTTCCCAACGCTCTTTGAAGCCGTCTTTTTACCTCTCCTTCTCCATATCATTTCGTTAAGCAGGAGACCAAGCGAGCACTCCGTATGGTTGTAACAACTTATGATGGTTGTACCCAAGACCTCGGACAGTATTACAAGCCATCGCATGGTGGCGAGTGTGGCGGATATGTAGCCACATCATGGCGGTGGTTCAGTCAGCTTTGTAGGTGTTGCGAAATCAGGCGCTCGTTACGACCGTTCTCATATGGGCAACAGTAGCGGCGGTATCGCTCTTCACATGTTGATTATGATTGGAATCCATCGACCACACATGTTTCTTGATATAAGAGGGCAAGTGTAACGGGGTAGCCCGGTACATGAATTACCATAATGAGAAATGGTAGTAAAGAATATTCTTTTAACAATATCACTAAATACAGTGATATTGGGGAGATGACCCAAAAGTCTACTCATTGGTTAACAAAGTGTCGATATCGACCCACCAATCGCTGCTAGACGCGCGCCGCGGGTGGTGAGTAGACGTCATCAGACGTTCAGTAATATGAATACAATCAAGTTAGGACAAATAAGGCAACACGAGATATTGGACTTAATTATATCAAATAACAAGTTTATGACGACACGACTAGAGTCTTTGCCGTAGTTGTTTACCCGTCCTCTGTATAGTACATACACTTAGCAGGGCACTGACCTCCACTGTTGTCAGTGAGAGTTGGCTCCGCACTTGTAGTCCAGTACGTAGCAATCGGTGCCCCATTACAGCAAACCTTGACATCAGTGAGCTTCAGGTCATCCGTGGCATGTGACCGATCATTGTCATGTAGAAGTAGGCGCTCCGATCCTCTGCATTACTATAGCCGTCACTAAACTCAGGCTGCGAGGTAAAGGCAGCGACCGTGTTCTATTTTTCGGGCCTGTGCGAAATCTATCCGTTTGCTTTTGGACAAACCACCTGATCGGCACTACAGACCGTATTATCGATTGAATGCGTTCGTGTCTTGTTCTTGGTGTAGAAGCTTTTGGAAGTAATGACCTTCTTCTTGTCGTACAGCTTGCTTTCGATCAATTGAGTTGATGTGCTGCATGTATACCACCACGCAACAATCCGCACAGTTGCATGTTCTGCTGGATGATTGAAGCTCCACCGACTGACCACAAATACCCACGTGGGAGCACTGACCGCGGTACCCCATAGCTAGTAACATTGATCAGACCGACACATTGTACGAGTTACATTGTCCGGATAGTTTGCGATCCCATGTCGTCAATCGTTTCCCGATCTGCCTCTATTCACGAGCTCGCTGCGACTTCAAGCTGCCCCTTTTGTAGTTACTTGAGCGTACTGGGTACCGAAATATCAACTCATACTACTTTCGGGGAAACGAAGGGTGAAGACACTCTGCTATCATGGTACTACATTACTTTGTACGTGTGTTTGTCAGGTAGCATCTCGACTGCACATCCTGCGATGACATCTCAGTGTCGTTTGCGATGCAGGAAAAAGAGCAGAACTTGGTGCTTGTTGCGCAGGACTTCATCCTTGTTGCGATGGTACTCATCTACGGTGTTCAATACGAACGGAAGCATATACAGCTCGGGAGCTGTCGCAAATCGTTGCTCTTGCTCGCTCACTTACCCCGAGAAATCGACTATCGACGTGGTGTTACTAGCAAACTTTTGCTTGTCGGACAACATTGTATAGATTACTAGTGCTACTCTGGCGCTGAGTGATCGTATGTACAAGAACTGATCCGCACTTGAACATCGGGTCACTCGTCCGCGAATGCGCTTACCACTTTGTCGTGCCAGCGTGTGAAGACAAATGCGATCAGAGGCACGTTCGTGCATTTGACAGCCAGAAGACCATCAAGCATTTACTTGGTGGTCACAAACCGAGGCTGACTGTGCGTTGCTAGTGAAAGAGGTTTTGTGTCGTCGGACATTAGATGTCTACGTGGCTGCGAGTGAGTACGACGACGACTCCTGAGCGTTGTCGCAAGAGCGAAATGTCGATTACCGCGCTCGAGACGTCGACTTGCACTTGGCGAGAATGAGCATGGACCACATGGATCAGGTATTGGCGGTTGCAACGCTGCAAAAGCACAAGATTGAGTAAAAGCTGCGTTCGTTGGCACGATGTCGGTTCCGATCGTCGAGGGCGGAATTTACGTCGACATTGATAGAGATCGTCTTCGCAAAGTCAAGCGTTCAACGAAATCGTACGTTTAGGCAACAAACAATCAGTGCAAACGAACGATATAAAAGACACAACAAAAAGCTCACGAGCATCGTGTGTTGACTTACAATGCGCTCGTTCGGCCTCACGTCACGACTGGACTTCCAGACGACGTGGATGGTGCGTCTCCCATTGCTTTACCGCCCATTGCATCTCGGAGCAAAAGCGTGTCGATCATCTGATGCACCAATCCCATGCTGACTCGATACGTTCCCACCACGAGCTCAGTCAGCTCCCCGATATGACTTTTTCCCTCCACGGGAGACACAGGCGTTGCCATTTCTAGGCTTGCCGTCGTCGTTAATTCAGGAGTTGCTAGCACCACCATACGGGTGACCGAACCGGGGACGCCAACGCCAAAGCTATCGGTCCCGAAATTGTACGAAGAGAATGCAGTGTAGCCCTTATCGCGAAGACGCACGGAGATCGACCCGTCCATTTCGACGTACGAACTCCACAAGATCACAGTGCGGTCCTTCTCGAACACCCGCCAAAAGGAGAACCTACGAACGATGTTCGTCGTTCGGAACTTGCCTAGCTCAATGGTCTCGACCATAGAGACGTTCATGCGATTGTCGTCAATCACTTGCGTCTGGAAAGGACCCATCATCATTTCCTTGGCTGTGCTGTGTCGAAGAATGCCCCACATTGCTTGGTGCACGGTATCGGGCGAGAACGGCAGCAGACGCACGTCGACGTGCCGGACGGATACGCCACTTGCGTCAGTATGCGCTGTCGTGCCATTGTTCATGTCGTGGTCGACGTGCGTGATCCCGCACTGCTCGAACACGGAGTCCAGCTCAGCATACTGCGTCTTGAGGTTCTCGGCCAAGCACGCGAAAATGAGCTCTTCGGACATGGCGGAAAACTGCAGCAGACTGCTCGATCCGTTTCGGGTGTGGAAGGGGGAAATAGACTGCGCGGCGTCTCGCTGGTGCTGGTCGATCGCAGCTTCCAAGCTCCGCGCGACGCTCAGCTGCCCTTCGAGCATTGCGCGCAGTCGCAAGTTTTCCACGATCGAGCGGTCGACCTCCTTCTTCTGTCGCTCGGCAATGCGCTGCCAGCTCATCAACATGCTCTGCGACGAGCGCGACTCGGTGCTAAACAGCGCAGCATTATTATCGGCCACGGACGACCCCTCGCCCGGCTCGAGCTGGAGATTCTGCAGTTCGCGTTCCATGTCGGCCACTTTGGCGCGGAGGTAGTCGAGCTCGTCTTTCGGGCGCTTGCGACGGCGCTGTTTGTTGGCTTTCGAGTACGGGGCACTGCGAGCGTCTTTGCCTTTCGAGGCGAGCGGTTCCTTTGGTGCTTTGCCACTGCTGTGGGCGCCCGCCCGGTCCTTTGTGGCTGACGCTTTTTTGCACGGCAGAATAGCGACCTCGTGCGTCCCAGTCTTGACGTCCGGCAGGGAAGGGATGTCAATGGACAGCATCAAGTCCATGTCGTCGCCCAAGATGGACCCCATCGAGTCTTCGGTCGGCCCGAACGCACTCGCCGACGGCGACGACTCGAACGACAGCACGTCGGCCAACTCGGCCAAGAGGTCGTCGTCCAGCACGCCCACGTCGTCCTGTTGCTGCTGCATGGGCACTTGCAAAGTGAACGGATCAGTGCGCATGAGTGAGTGGCTGGCGGGGCGCGAGGGGATGACGAGCGCCGGGCGATAAACGGGCGACGAGGCGTTCCGGCTGAGGTTCCGGCGGCGCCGATTGGAAACTGGCGCCTGTGAGACAACGAGACACGCGAAGGACGTCCCGGCTGGGCACGTGGCTGGACGGGGCGTAGGGGGCGGGGGATCTTATCGGACGGAATGGTCGAACAGGTCTCGTCCGCCGACAGTGTTTTTCACAATCTCTTTGGCGTACTTCGGGTCCCTCACGACCACAAACCGACTCGATGGGTTGCCGTCGAAAGACGACGACGTTTTGTCGAGCCAGCGGACGCGTTTCCAGCTCATGACGACCTTCCCTGAAAACAGGAGGCCGTGGGCAGGCCGTGGGCAGGTACTGGAGCGGGGTCTATGTGCGTGAGCCAGCAATTCGTGTCGCAGCCAACGCGGGTGCTGGAACCGCGAACAGGAACCGACCAGGTCGATCGTGCGCTGCGCTCGAGCGACGATTCGCGGAGGGGCAAGTGCCCGGATGGTCACGCCAAAATGGACATGACAATTGTCATGCGCCGTAGGCGACGTGTGATGGGCAATGCCGAGCACGAGCACGAGCACACACCAAAAGGAGAGCGTTTCTGTTCATGGGGATGGAATTTACCCGTGTTCACTACCGATGACCAGAATCGCCACATGATCGATGTGGTTTGGTGGTGGGCAGACAGCTGTCAGCAGAGAGTGGTCGTCACACTCACGACTGCAAGTTGCACATGTGCAGTCGCGGGTCTCTTGCTGGCACCTGCGGGCCGACGTCCTCTTTATGCTGAACTGTACTCCCTCTATCTATCTACCGACCAGCTCGGCGGTAGGTGAACGGAGAGAGAGACAATATCAGCTCGACCGGCTTTGCATGGTGGAGATACGACCCGGTGATAGTGACGGCGGTACTTGAGGTGGAAGGACCTTGTTGACAGCAGCCACACGACATCGCGTGCTGATCAAAAGCTGCTGCGGCCCGCACGGAGAGTGGCTGGAGAATCGGTCACAGCCGTCTCAGAAGCTTCTAGATACCCGTCGACATGGAGCGAGAAAGAGTCTGAAAGTTCGAGCGGTGTGTGCCCTTCTCCAGTTGCACTGTCACAGCACTTTTCGATCATGTTCGCTCGAAATCGGCAGAGTGAGAGGCAGTTGCTACGCTCGACTAGTAGTCGCCTTGCGCTCGTGCGCCTGAACAGCTGTTGTAAGCACGTGCGACGCAAAGGTACTGTCTGTGTACCACCAGAGTGACTTGATGAGGCTCTCACCGTGTGTTCGAAAATGTTGACGGGCGCAGTGCGATCAAACGGGTCAGTGGACAGAGCCTCTTCTTCTTCTTTTTTTTCTGATGGAGCTCGGGCGTGCGACTATAGAGGAGCGACGCGTTTTTACTAATCGGAGGAAGCGTATCTGGCTGGAGAAGAGGAAGTGTGTGTGTGTCACGATAAGGCTGCGCAACTCGAGTGCGGTCAAACGGCACGTAGCTGAACGCACGACGACCACATAAAGATCAAGCGTACTTCGGAACACGATCTACGTTTGCAGCGAAGTTGCCGAAAAACAGTCAACCACGTCCACATCAAGAGCTTCAGAACGAATAGAAATGAAGGCTTTTGAGACCCTAAGTTGCATGCTAGGCACGAGAATACGCAGCTTTGCCACCTGCACATGAGATAAATGCGTCTGCGAACGAAGCGGTCCTCTTGCGTACATGAAACACGACGAAGCAGGCTTACAACCGGTACCTGGGCTTGACAATGGGGCCGACAGATTTGGTCAGTATGATCAATGGTGCTTCTAGAAGCAGCACTTTCTTCTCCAGTTGCTAAGAGTCAGTGTCTGTTCCGCAGCAAATGTCGCCATCCTCCACTCCGCCGCGACACTGCTTCTCTTCCGCGACAACACGGTACATCGAGACTAGTCCGACATTGCAAAAAGACGAGAGTCCAGCACCTCCGACCATTCAACATTAGCATTGTCCAGCTGCTCTTCGGCCAGCCAGGCGACATGCCGTTCTTCAAGCCCAGCGCAAGTTCGACGCTACGAAGAGGTTTGTGTTTGTAGATTGTTTCAGCAAAACTACCCTGTCGATCGACACGACGGCTACCAGCTGTACGAAGATAGCGCAGACGCGTTGTCAACTTGTAATTGCGAGTGGAACCGTTGACATCCCATCCGCACGTTCTTCCCTTTCCAACAGTTCATTGCACCGCGCGGCCTGACTCGACAAATGTCTACATCACTGCGGTGCTCATGCCAAGTGATGGTCGGCTGTGGCGTAATGCGTGTTATGCTCTAGAGCAGGCGTACATGTCTAGCCCATTTTGAGAACAGCATCGCTTGCTAAGCTAGAGAGTACTGCAAGATGCAACGACCGATCGTTTGCCTTCTTCATGGGCAGCTCCAAAAGAGTGTGCTCCAGTGATTGGTGCGTGCAGCACTTGCCACGGTCTCTGAGCTGTATGCACAAATGATACAGCGGACAAACGGGACAAATGCGCACGTCGAGGTAGTGCGGGGGGGGTAGCGGTTGTGCTCACTCGCCGCCTGCTTCGAATGAGACGACCGGCTGCCGAAGCGCGACTTGTCTAATCTTTATAGCACCGCAGACAGCATGATCCGGCAGGCAGGAAAAGCGCTGACGATCAGCTCGTAGCTCAAGCCGACTCTTTGTTCGCATTGGCGACAGCCACGTGCCTTTCGCCTGTCAGCTATGGCTGCGGGAATCAACACGGCGGCCGGATCGTGAGGGCGAGGTCCGCGTAACATTACGAAGCATTGCTCTCTTAGGGTAAGAGGCAGTGAATGAGACCACAGTATCACGAGACGTCTCGGTGGCTTTTAGCGTATGTCCGGGTGCCACGGCATCCAGCACTCAAGTTGAAGTAGCATTCGAGATGGAACTTGACTGCTGCTGAAGAATAAGAAGCGTACATTAGCATCGCTCAATGGGAGGAGTTTTCTTCCGTCAACCAATTAGTTATACAGGCACTCTCGCTAACATTTCAGCAAACATCTGTGCAACGAGTCAAGGCATGTTTTTATCACTCGGAATGGAGTACCGCTCTCACTAAGCAACAACGAAGAAGCAATCGCAAGCTGCGCCTTCTAGAACCTCGACTTGAACATCGGGTCTAGCACCATCGCAGATCAGTTGCTTGTAGACGTTACTACGCGTGAGCAGGCAGGACGCAACTGATTTGAGCCAGCTTTTGGACAATATTCCGTCCCGGCGAGTTTCTCGGATTCATCGATCAAAACGACAGCCTTATGTGACCCCGCTGAACGTGTAGCGTTCGGACTCGGCTGTGGCAGGGCTGACTACACCGCACTCTCCGCCAACAACCTGGAGCAACGTGCATCATTGATACAGACTTGTCCACTGTTCGTAAGAGCTGCTAGGTAAAGGTACAAAGGTCATCGAGCTGATAGCTACGACGCATCCTGCTGGTCCATCCATGATGAGATCGGACAAGCCATGTTTTCTGTCAGCGTGCTGCATCAATATACCAAGCTCTGAGCACACGCCACACGCAACACAAAGTATAGCTCGAGGAGATATGCGACATAATACAGCCAAAATTGCGGACTTTGTGCAAGCTGTTTCCTGGCATAACGTACGATTGACTCGGCGGCAAGAAGTTCGATACTTTATTTTCCGAAGTATCTCGCCGGTCATACCGTCTTCCGTTCCGTAAAAGATGGCTTCGCAGTCAGTGGCCACGTTGTTCTTGATTGCGTTATGTGAGGATCTAACGTGTCGTTGCTACATGGGCTTGTGTTCGCCTGTCTGTTAATCGCAGCTGTGCCAATTGTTCCGACCTAAGCACCTCAACGTACCTCATCGCTTTTCCACCAAAACGCTGAGGTACGCTTCCGGTGTCCGAAAATGGCCCACTCTCGCTCGCCAAAACTTTGTAAAAGTCTGGGTTGAGGTGAACGTGCAGCCACCATGTTTGCAGCAGCCGCAGAAGGCAGACTCGTAAACGTAATTCACACGATACGAAACAGAATACACCAGCGTATCCCTGGGACTCGATGGCCAGGTTGGCCCTTGTGATCTCGATAGCTCCAACCGAAGACGCCGGATAGCCAAGAAATGTCGTTTTGCACTTGATCATTTTCGTGTTATGAATTCAAAAAATGTCGCGCTTACTTATTCGAAAAAAACACGACTAACTCAGGCTGGTCTACGTCTCGTTGCCTTATTTTTACACGATGGATCGTGTTGCTGTGCTTGCACCAGACGATATCATCCTTATGCCTCGTGAGTAATTTATACCGACAGATTGCCTTATGAGACACCTTGAGCTTGATCTGCTCAAGCGAGGCTCATCGAACAAAGTTTCTATCTTGTTGGCCACGAGGCTGCATCAAAACTTTCCCATTATCCCAACGTGCAACCTCATAGCCGCTTTTATATGGCGTAGTCCAGATTGTATGATTTTACAACTGGGGAAAACAGCAGTCATTTGCAGTGAGGTTTGATTAGCGCGAGCAGTTCTACTGAGCCAAAACAATATATCTTCGCGTCAGATTTGCTATCTTCTGGCCACCTTTTCCGTGCATCCACATCGAAGTTGTCGGCAAAGCACTCATGCCTCATGATCGCTTTTTGTGGCTGACGGAAAATGCGGCGCTTAGCTTTGGCTAGCCAACCTTTGTGCATTCGCGTGTCGATCAGGTGCTTGAAGATGATGGCGGAGCACCGCATTGTATGCATTAATTATGCGCATGAACTTCAGGCCGACGGCATTCATGCAACTTCGTAGCAGTACAAGCAGTTTTAGACACGACCAAGACTTGCTTTTGCGCAACATACTGCAGGAATCGCGATCTTTTGCTGACATTCCGTACTTATGCGGACGAAATGTTCACCTTGTAACGGGGCAGCCCGTTACATGGAATTGTCACTTTAAGGAAAGTGACAATAAAGAATACGA